AACATGCAGCTTGTATGGATTAATGAGTGGGGCTACATAAGCTACTGTTGCCAGATATTCATCCGACTAATATCGGCGTACTTTACATTGCTTCTATGGGAATGTTGAAGTAAAACTGGAGGACTTTAACGGGGATATTTTGATTTTCCTGGAACCTAGTGATAAAATATCGACTGTAAATTAAAGAATAACTTTCTTTCGTTATATTGGAGCGTTGTTCATTATGATTGACTAATATAGGGCCTCGTTTTAAGACAGCAAATGCGTCAGAGTGGTCGAATGTATAGTGAGATTTTGCATAAACTGCGAAATTTCTGTCCGTTCCTTTTCTAAATTACACATTAGTAGCAACTGTATTGTACCTTGTTGTACCCTGCTGTATGCTCCAAATTCACCAAGGTTGTTTTAATTGTCTATCTCTACGATAAAAATGCGTAGTTTGTTTACAATTCTAATTCTAGGTTTGGTAAAACGAAATACGGTCGACAAATTTAATAATAAGTTTTGTGGCAAACAATTCAGAAACTAGCCAAAAATCTGAATTCATTCTCTGGTTCTGTTTGATTTTCATAAGTCGTAAATGTTTGTCAAATCGGTTAAAGTTTGGCTGGAAAGGATGTGGTTTTCACGGCAGACATCAGTGCAAAAGCCCACGTTGATTGCATTTGGCCTGCTGATATTAACACATCTGCTATTGGTCAGTAGGCTAGGTACGCTTGGCTTATTACAGTAAATTGTCAAGATGACGAAAATCCGTGGCAGATTCCAGTTACTCTAGTTAGCCAAGGTGTTAGAAGTGAAACAAGTACTAGAACCAATCATTGAACAGTAAATTATCGATCGGCGGCCAAGCTAGTGGGCTCGTAGCTGACAATACACCGCCGTCTTGCTGGCATGACCAATGGCAACGCTGAGGGTGGCTTAGGCTTACGAGCCTTACAGCTGGCCAATCAGTCTGATCCAGTAAGCCGCATGACCTCTGCAGACTTCTCTGAATGCGATTCTGCTCGACGGAGCATTTTTTTTATGAAAACGCAGACTATCTGCCTGGCCTGATCTCCGATCTCCGACCAGGCCATTTATGCGGGACTTTGGTCTCAATAAGGGAAGTAACTTCTTGATAAGTACACGGTCAATGTCAACTTCTCTTAAGAGTAGCCAAAACAGACGGCATATCCGATAAAAATGAATACGTCATATTCGTGGTAACAGTAGCCAATCGATATCCACATACAGGAGACGCATACGAGTAATTGTGTACTTTCACGAAACTTTTCTATTACGTTTGACAATGATACTTCAACTCTACTTGTCTCTATGTCATGAATACTGCTTACTACCAAAAAAGTCGATGTTAATCTGACTAAGAAGGGAAAATCGAAATTTTTCAAAAGTGCACTGAATAGATTATCAATTGCGAGACGAGAGGGAATCCGTCAGTTTTTCTAAAGTGCTATGTCCTCCCCTATGCTTTATTTAGACTAAGATGCCTATTAAACTGTAGCCATACAAAATTCCCATAGCAACCCAAGCGCGACGGTGGTTTACCTCTCTGCTCAGCCTGTTTTTGTCAACTACAGTTCTCAACTACTTAAACCAGTTTTAAGTAGGTACCTGCTAACCATTCAATTTACTCTGTTCCCCCCCCCCAAGGTGTGTCGACGCGCCTACCGGGAGAAGCTGAAGCGTGAGGAACGCAAGTACCTAAACGCTGCCCATCACCAAATCTTCGGTGAGGCACAGGACAGCGAACTGGGAGAGTCGATCAGGGCATACACCCACGAGCGTGAAATTTACGAACGTCGGGAGGCGGCAACTGAAACAGACGAGGCGGTCGAACGTCCACCGGAGGAAGTACAACGCGATGGTGAGGAGCAGGATAGCGACAAGTACATGTGGTAGGGTAATTCCCCTCGAGGCGTCGTTGCACACCAACA